CATTTTACAAAAGCAAAACACTCTGAATGATGACGTTCCTGAAAGCGGCGACAGATTCACTTGTAATCTATTTTAGCCAGCTACAGTGCCTCAACTTCTTTAGAAAGTCGTTTGGTGCTCAGTAATTGTGGGAAATAGCTTTATTTCAGGAGAAAATCGTCAATTAACACGAGATGTGTCATTTTTGAGAAGTGCTCTTATAATTATGTCCAGCACAATATTACTGGTTGCATTTTCTAGGTTCAACTATATTTTACCTGCACTGTGCAACTATGTTACAAGCATGATGGTGGATGTGAAGGAGTTATGGTAATTTAACAATTTTTTGCGCTTTTCTAAGTTCTTTTTATTTGATACTCAAGTGATCACTAGTTTAAGCCTCGCTTTCAACATTTCCGCTGCCTTGAAGATGACATTCCTGTTTCTGTTACTTGTGAACTCGCGCTATCAAAGGCATGCCTGCTTGATTATATTGAAATTTTTCGTAATTCTTGCAATCAATATATGAATTCTACATAAAGCCACTAAAGAATAATATCAACGCTACTTAAATAAAATAATTTTCATGGAAGTCTATTTCAGCCTCCTTCGTGTTCTACAGACTCACTGTCAGTTGGTGAACCATATCAAGGATCTAACCTTGAACTAGGTTAAGCTATGAACATAGTTTCATAGCAGACTCGATAGCTAATCTCTTATATCGATAGTAGTGTCATTCCAGACAAGGATGACGATGACAATGATTCCCACGAAGATAAGCAATTTTTCGGGCCTATGCACTCCAGTGACTATGGCCGGTAAATTACAGTCAAAGTTACTTAATCACCTCTAAAAAGTACTGAAATATTATAGGTCGAAGTATAGGGACAGTCCGCTGAATGAAACAGACATGGGAGAACACTTTCTGGTTTTCTCGAATCATTCAAGTAAGTATCTTCGTAAAACAATAGTCTATATTCAATTAGATCATTTGCAAATTTCAATCAAGCTGCGTAGCTTCACATTGCGCCAATTTTAAGTTTTTTCTGAAGTGGAAAGTAGTCGTAATTATTTCCAAATCTAATTCCATATAAGATGCAAATAAAAATCGCACCATTTACCTAAGAACAGATTAATGCTAAATTTTTACCAGGATCAATCTTCAATCTCACTTTACTCAGGTAGAGCGTAGTCTCGACATTTTCTTTCCTTCGCTTTCCTACCTTTCTATTACAAGTTCTCAAACTGGCTTGATTCGTACATATATCAGCTCAGAGATATAAGTTAGAAGCAACTTAAGCAGTTGCCTCACTGAAAATGTTGAGTT